CGCAGGCTCAGCGGCCATGGCTCACGGGCCCAGCCGCTCCGCGGCACGTGGGATCTTCCCGGACCGGGGCACGAACCCGCGTCCCCTGCATCAGCAGGCGGACTCTCAACCCCTGCGCCACCGGGGAAGCCCAATAATAAATCTTTTTTAAAACACCCCAAAAACAGAGTGAAACATTTGTGGCTGTCAGAGAGCGGAGGCACACCACTGTCCAAACTTGTGTCTGAGTGAGAGTTAGGACATGCATGGCCACCGGTTCTGCGGTGTAGCTTCCTCCTCTCTCTCCATCCTTGGTCTTTGCTCTGTGATAGACAGGACTTGGAGCCACTGTCCCACCAAACCCCTCACAAGCGCCTCAGGGGAGAGCCAGGAATACAGGAGGCACAGAGGTGTACTCGCTGGCCTCTACTTTGGATTCCTATGGGTGCCGAGGCCTGCTATCTCCCCACAGGCTGCAAAATGGTGAATGGGCCAAAGTCTCCTTGCAAGCTCAGCAAACTCCTCCCTGGCCTGAGTAAACAGAAGTGGCAGATGGAGTCCACTTGCAGTCCACAGCGGGGGCGGGGGTGGGGGGAAGGTCCCCAGTTTTCAGCTACAGTTACTGCCTGGTGCCAGCTCTGAATACCCTAGGGGCAGGCTCAGGATTCCTTCTACACATACCCCGAAGAAGGTGTCAGAGAAAATGGTGCCGCTGGAACACACCCTCTCTCCCACATGTTTGGAGGATGGCCTCCATACACACAGAAGCAGTAAGCAGTCAGGGCTCACCCATTCAGCGGCCTCAGACTTCCTCAGCATCGGTCCACTGAGCTTCTGGATCCAGGCCTGAGACCACCGGAACAAGCCAGAGCGACTAGGACCACCCTAGTCGTCCTGGGGAAAGAGCTCTCCCTGGGGCTTCCCAGCCCCTTGCTGGAGGAAATCACCCTAGATTCTGCAGGCGTTTTGCCTCTCCAGACCAGCGGATGCAGGCTCTGTCACTTCCATCCAAGAAGAGGGAAAGCCCAGGTCTCTGGGAGCCTATCCAGTGTATGTGTGGAGAGGGAGAGTTCTCCTTTTGAAACTGGGAATGGGGGAGTTAATGCAAAGTTTCCAGTCCACCAGAGGCAACCAGTTTGTTGCGCCCTGGCAGCCAAGGGGTGCGAACCATCCTCTGCTTCCCGCCAGAGGGAGCTATTGGCCCGTCGGCTCTCCGCCACGGGGAGTAACCGAAGGTAACCTCGCGCAATCACGGAATTTTAGAGCCGGGGAAGACCCGGGAGCCCCCAGCCGGCCATGGGTGCACCGGGAAAGTTTCAGTGCCAGGCAATGCCTGACTGAGCTGGAGGGACGGAGCAGGCTGTGAGGAGGCGCACAACGACGCGACGCCGGGGGCCAAGCCTCTGGGCCGTGCCTGCAGCACACATCATCTGAAGGCGTGACTCAAGAGTGACACAAGAGACAGACACATGCCCTAGCTTCTAGTGCCCAGCGGCTGCACCTAAGCAGCCACTCAGAGGGGTTGTGGCTTCCACTGAGAGGCTGCCCAGGAGCAAGCGGGTGGGTGGGCACAGCGCACGGGGCCAGGACAAGGTGAAAGGCCCTTCCCTGGGCCCCAGCAACCACCAGCCGAGCACAATCCTGAGGACGGGGTGGGGGGTAGCCGCTGGCTCTGCAGCCCTGAGGGGGTTAAGACTCAGGTGTCCAGGCTCTGCGCTGGGAGGGAGGAGACTCAGGGGCCAGTTGGGCTGCATTCCAGGGCAAATGCTGCAGCTGCACCCCTCATATTCCCAGACCAGCTCAAGCGCCCAGGACGGAGGGAGCCCCAGGCCCCCTCACATCCCCAACATAGGGGATCTCCGCCAGACTGGGACTTGGGGGCCTGGGCTGACCCACAGACACACGGCGCCCAATA